GGGAATAATATACATAGACGCAATTTGGTAGAAATATATGCTCATTCTTGCTTCTTTTTTATAAATATGCATTTAATTTGAGGGTGAATTTTATGCTTTTAAAACATTATAGTTGTAGAGACATTAGGTATTTTGTAAGCAAGAGATGGGAAAAATGAGCAACACCTTCACCGGGAATCGAACCACGAACCTCTGAAAGACTCGCCTAGCGTGCAGACCACCACACTACGAAGGCATGCGAAGAAGGCAGGAGAAATATCTTATATACTCCTCCTTTTAAAGAGCGACTGTGGTTTATAGGGAAGCCAATTGCCAAATCCTGTGTGGGGAGAATTATCATCTAACACCCTCTTAGTTCGGGCGCCACTGTAAAGACATTAGGTATTTTGGAAGCAGGAGATGTAAAAAATGAGCGATGCCTTCGTCGGAAATGGAACCACGGATCTCTGGAATACGCGCCACCCCACTACGAAGGCATGCTGAGAAGGCTGGAGAAATATCTTATATGGTGAAATAACTGCCAAAAATGAAAAAAATAACGGTTTGCACTATGGGAGCACAAACACATGTTACAGTCAGTTTTGAGTGACATATATATACGCTGCGGCCAGGTGAGTTGAGTAAAAAGAGGAAGCTTATTATAGTAAAGTAACCTTGACTTCAAGCATTAATATAGGAAACAACCTACTGACGTTTAACTTTAAAATATTACTTACAGCCCCCCAACTACATCGTTCTCTCGAGGGATGTCCTTCTTTCTTAGCACAGGTATTACGCCGCCCCCCGGTGATCTTTCCTTTTCGTCTTATCTTGCTTTTTCCTCTGTTTTCTTACCAGTGGTTTCCTTTACTGAAATTTTGGCTACACGTGAGTTGTTATCACTTCCCTATTGCTTCTAGCTTCTCATGGACTGAAAACGTCCTACATGTTTGCGTGTGTGGGGTGGCTGACCAAGTGTACGAGTGTCCATGTGTGGCGACTGGGCGATTTACTGCCTCCAACAAACTGCTTTGCTTTTCCTCTATGTTATCAATCGGCTGGTCAGTGGCTTCGCCAATCAAGAGTTCCTGCTTTCGGGAATGCCGACTATGGAGCTGGAGTGAGTGAGTAGACACGGATAGCTCTGGCACAAGAACCTGCATTTCGTATTTACCTATCATTATTTCTGTCAGTTATAGATTTTCTAAACTAAACTTGTTTTAAGGAAAATGTTCCTTTCTTAGATTAAATAAAAAGGAATGTAAATACCAATAAAAACAATCGTATTATTTGTTTATTAAGAATTCAACAGTCAGTTATCAGAAAATATGACCATGCATGATTATCATCACACTCCTGTACAGGCGAGCCACAGAACATCAAACGGCTGAGCTTTGGAGATGTAATTGAAACAGTTCCTGCAACTCATTCTGTTGCTCTGGGATTTAAAAAAAAACCTTGGAAAGTCAATGTAAGTATGTCAGGGCATAAAACACTAAAGTGTTGTCGTGATTGCCGACGTTTTCTTCGTTGAAGAGAAGAAAAGTCCCTCTGAGTTGTCTGACCAGAATGCACATTCTGCTAGGCGGATGAAGACACCTAAGGCAATTAATCATTGCGAGGCATCTTGAATGGCATCATTACGAGGCAGGTATTCCTCACGTTTTATCTACCAAAAGGTATTAAGGCTGAGTTCTTATCTTGACCATTAAGACATGCCAAACCGTTTGGGATAATTTCAGTGCCAGCACTTTGACAGTTGAAATATGTCTTACCATGGTCAACTCACATATGCTCGTTGTCATTTGAAAAGCCACAACAGTGAAAAATTTCAGTTACCAAGCAGCGTTGTGGAAACTGGAAAAACAAGCACACGGCTTTGCTGCAAAATCAATGAAAATAATAGGAAACTAATTTTTAGTATGGTTCACGGAAAACACGGACTACCCTAGAAGGAAGGGTACCTTCAAGAGACCACACAAAAAAGCTATAATTTGATGGCCACTGACAAACTATGGCATACGTAAGAATAAAAGACCCTAAAGTCGAAAACATTAAGCAAAAAAAAAAAAAAATCAAAACCGACCAGAAACCAGAACGTAAGTCTCTTAAATAGTATCAGTTCAGAACATTTAGGTTCTGGATGGAATGGAAAAGGAACTAGATATTTCAAAACATCATCTTCCGCGTAAAACCAGAGAATTGCACCTAAAGAAAACACATCCCGCATAATGACCACTCTAATCTCATGGAAATGTTGTGGCTTCCACCAAAATTTTATTAACATCAGAGATATGCATTTCTGCAGTTTTCCCCCGTGTGTAACTTGAATACAAGCCAGTTTTTCTTAAAGCATCTTTCTTGAATTAATTCCTCATATAAGGCAGATAAGTCTTATCTGTTTTCGCATGACCAAATAAATCAAACCAGCTGTTTACTTGACTCCAAATGACCACAGCGATCAACGAGATTTACAGAGCAGCTGCCTGAACAATTTACCATAATAGGAGACTTTAAAGACAATATTCCATTCCGGGAAGTAAAGATACAAATCATCGATGCGAACAAATTGAGCAAATGATAGAAGGTAACAGCTTTCTCTCCTCGATAATAGATAGCATACTTACTTCCTTGAGCCTACAAGAACCTTCCACGCTCTTGATCTTGCCATTTGTTCACCGTCTTTGTTTTTTTGTGCATTTTAGAGATCATTCCCTATTTTTGTATTTCTGAAGTCCTCATGAAGAGGTGTAAACCTCATATCAATATATCCTGTTTTCATAATTGTTAGAGCAAACTATGAAATTCTCTCATCTTTTACAGAATTTACAAAAGAAGAAACAGTGAAAATGCTTCTGACAATTATATAGTATATTACTGATATTAGTTGGATTCAGACAACTACAGTCTGTGTGCCAGTAAGCTTCTAAAATGCTGAAAGTTTTGGTGTAATCTCGGATGCCAAGAACCGCTGAGAGAACAAAGGAAATCTTGAAGAGATTATCGGTAATACCTCGTTTTGTTAAACCTCGTAGCCTTTAAAAATCAAAGAAAACGCAAGAAAATTGAAATACCAAAGCCACAGCAGGTCGGGGACATTCTTAATGTCACCAATAACATCCTCTACACAAGTTAAAATTATTTAGAAAGCTTTAGAAAAGCATTCGGAATGTAGACTGAGCATTCATTTTCCATAGGATGGGCGAGTTGTTAGTGTCACAGAAGATATTGAAGACATTATTGGCTGCCGTTTCTGCTGAAAAATACTTCTACCGAGCATTTCTTTGGGCCATCTTTCTGTTCAAGGGTCCGCTCACTGAAGAACTCCATACCTGATGCGTGCATCCAAACACTATGCCATTTTAATATACCATTTTGGGAATTTGTGAAAATGCAGCTTTCGGAATTTTATACTATCATAACAAAAGAAATGCTAATGAGATCGTGTGTAAGCATCTTTTTTACTAAGCACGGAAATAAAAAAAATCGATAAATAGAGCTAAATACATCAATTATATTGCTATATACACAGGTGGATCTAAAGAATTGCTGAAATATATTTTGTGATTTGCAACTGCTTGGAGGGCAAGCGGTTTGAATGATGCTTGTTTAGTGCTGTCTTCTGGACTGCTGCAAAATGTGAATTTTCGTTCACATGGGAACTAGTATGTCGGAGAAAGTTTATAATTTATACCTTTAAAGAACTAGAAGGTTTAGAAACATTTTCTGATTCGCAAAGTCCGGTAGCTGTTGAAGCTATAAAGTTAAATTTAAGCTTAAGCATCCATGGGTATGAGATTTTTCACTGTTGGTTTTCCATTTCAAGATGGGAAATAATGATCTAGCAGACGTCATAGCAAAGTCTGGTGCTGCATTGTAAAATCGATTCGCCCTTCTGAAGACATCGCTATTGTCATCAAGTTCAGAATAAATGGCAGAGACAAGGTATATTCAGCACCATAATAAGCCTAGAACCATAAAATTTAAAGGGGGTATTGGAAGACTGCCAGAAAAACGGAATAGGAAAAATTTTATCTCTTCTTAGAATCAGGTACTTTCGAATGGCACGTAAGTAACTTTCAAAAGCCGACAGAGAATCCATATGCTCTTTATTAGCGTACAAAACTTTCACAGAGTGCTCGAATTTTAAACTTTGAACTTGTTTTGCAATAGCTTAGTGTATTTCATGTTCATCATATTTTATCTGGTTTCAATTAAAAATTTATCTTGTAAATTTTATACATCTTGTAATGGCATCATTAACGTGCCAAAATCATTCAATTAACTTAATTGGTTATAGATATTTTGTTAGTTTATTTCCTAAAAATGAAAGACCGGAAACGAAACAAATTACCCTTCTGGAGTATTTAACCCAAAAGAGTCATTATTTGGACAACATGGCATATTAAAACACAACATAACTCAGAAATCATGAAATCATCATCAAGGCAAAACTAAAGTGATTCAAGAAGAAAGTAGAAGTAGTAGGTTATTACGCTACCTTAGCCTAACACCTAAAGTAACATTTCCTAAACGAAGAAGATTCTTCTTCTGAGAGGCACATAACTTCCCACCGCTGCGATAATTAGCTTCATACAACAAAAATCATAAAGATCTTTCGACTGAAACCAAAGAATTCATGGCAATTTTTTTGTGTGAAAGGAATAGCAGTCAAGTCAAGACTTTGGCTGCAGAAGATTCAGATGGATATATGTCCTCGCCTTTTTTAATGATGTTCAGTAGGAATATTGTAGGAGATATTATGTGATGCTAAAATCTAATATTTGTGACTGATTGTTCTTTATATATATATATTTCTCTCAGTTACATAACGAAAAAGTATTTTTTTACCTTTCTAAATTTAATCTTTTTTTTTTTGTATCAGTTTTCTGGTTTGCATGACACAAATTCGCGCAATACAGTTTTTTTTAAGAACATAACAGAAGTAGTGTCTGGAGATTTTTGTAATCATTTCTTACGAATTTGGTTCATTATCTTATTAGATTTGTTTCCTTTTACAGGTAAACTGGACGAGAAAGCTTCCCAGCTGCACGCCATAGCATCCCTAAGGGTTCTCCTAGATGCCGCCAAGGCAAACGGCGGGTACCCCAGCGGTGTGCCTGTCCCACCCACTGGTGGTTGTTGCTCTTCTTGCGCATCATGCCAGCAATGTCTGTCGTGCCCGACGTGCCAGAGGCCACTCATGAGGCCCATTATCCCACCTCAGACCACCGACCCTTCCAATCCAGTGACACTGAACTCCTACATTGTCACGGCCAACGAAGGCCCTGTTCATTATCCTACACCAAACGCCCATTTGCCCGCCATAGGGACAAGCGTACCTGGCACAGGAGCCAAGCGGCCGCCGCAGTTGCCACAGCAGGACCCGCTTACCAATGTTCAGAGCCTGCAGGTGAGTAGTTCAATGTAGCTGTAAGACTGCATTCACATTACGGATTAAGTGTCGCTAATATCGTATATTTTAAGAAGCTCCAGGCAAACATGGGAAGGTATTTGTATGTTAAACATGTGTGGTGTTGTGGGTAACCATCTATCTTAACTAGATACCTATAAGTAACAAATCAATTTACATGTGTCCAATATTTGCTCGCCTGAAAAACGAAAGGTTGCGTTGAAAGAGTAACACAATTCTTCACTTACCCATAAACATGTCAAAAGGACTTCAGAGAACAACTTGTTTGCTTAATCTGACTTTATTGAATTAATTATTAATATTTAATGTGGGTTAGATATTATTCAACTTGAGAACATAGCACACACAAGTAGAAGAACACAATAACGGAATACAATAACACAAGAAACGGAAGAACACTAGAACGGATAGGCGGAAGAACGGCAAGACGGCGCCGTTTAGCGAAGATCAAAAGCAAAATTCAAATCTGTTGACATCGTGCACTTTGCTTGTTAGGATCCTAAGTTTTACTAACGTTTATTTTATTTTAAAACTGTACTATAACTTCTTATTTTCTACTTCCGTTCAGAATTAAAAAGCTTTAACTCTTTAAACTAACTTTGTTTATGCAAATTTTCTTGCTAACGTCCAAGTACTTAAGTTGTGGCTTTTTGCCAAGAGAGAGAGAAGGTGTTTTAGGAAGCAAGCCGCTTGCCACTGTAGTTTTACGAGTTTTCACTCGGTTGCTGGTTGCCTTTAAGACCAGAGGTTTAGCCCTCTTGATATTTGCAGACGTATCGTAGTTTCAGCAGCTCGGCGTACTACATACGTACCTTTTTTAAATAAAGGCCAGTCTTAGTGCTGGGCACTTGTATACTAATTCAAAGTTAGCTTTTAGTTAAAGTTTTAGTTAGTAGTTTTTATATTCTTACGTTCAGACCACGAGTCTCTGTATTCCGAAGTTCGGAAATACCTGTAAAGTATTGAAAATAAAGGGTTTCGTATACCCTTCCTGCTTGTGTTGTCTACTTCACACCTTCTTGAACATAGCTTGGGTAAGCTCCCTGTTCCTATTCAGGATCATTCATGTTTCCAACGCAAATAAAGAGAAACACAAGTCCTGACATGCTTACTGGAAATATTTTCACGTTCATCACACATATTGCAGATGGAGATACGTGCAGATATATCTTTCACACACCTCTTTCTGTTCAGCACAAGGTAAAATTCACGAGGAGACGAACTGATGACAAAATGGTAACAGATTCTTGATGCGAAACACACATTAACACGTTACTTCTATGCAGGTTAAATCTGGCACGATTCTCCAATATGGATTAATTTTCAACCTAATAATTTTCAGCTAATTCGTGCGATTTGTTTTAGGCAGCTCCTCCTTTTCCATCCAAAATAACGACGTCACTCCATGCGTGTGAGATATGCAACGGCCACAGCTTCGCATGCTCGTGCGAACCCGAAGTCAGCCAAGAGAGATGGAAAAGGGGAAAATCCCGTCTGGTGGGTGTTTATATATGCACGTGCAGTTTATCGATTCCGATTATTGTTTGGATATTGTCCCTGATGAATGAGCTGCGTGGTGTGAGAAATTTCCATTCTCACAACACGGAAAGGTTCATGTATTTGATCCTCCTTAAATTTTCGCTGACTTTTACATTCCGCCTAATATTTTTATAGACGAAGTATAAATTTCCTTCTTTCATTTTCAATGGCCTTCTGAAGTAAAAAAAACGTGTCCAACTACAACAGTAGAAACCTTAGAGATTTCCATATTTCACTACAAAAAGATAAAGCTTAAAAACACTTTCAACTTCTTTGTTTTGCACTCCAGGTCTTTATTGCTCGGAAGAACTAGAAGCAGGAGAAGATTTTCCTACAACCAAACTTAAAATGATTTCACACATAGTTAAAAAAAGTCTAAAGGTTTTTTATGTCTAACTATACCTTGTGGTTATACGCCTCTTTCGCCTGATACGAACTGTATTCTCCGCGGTGCTTGTTCGGATTCTGTACACGTTGCCCATTCTGAGTTTTCTGTCTCTTCTGTGGAATCACCGTCGCTTTCACGTTCAGTATCTATTACCTTGATCTTTTTCTCCTTCACCTATTAGTTCTTCACTGTTTTTCTGTAGTCTATCTATGCATAGATGTAAGTCCATCAACAAAAATCTAACTCATCTTCACTTAAACTGATTCTTTCATCGTGTTCCAGGTACTATATTGGGCTGCATAACATTGAAAATAATATTCCTATTGCCACGCCTATTGAGTTCGAACTAATACTGAAGACACGTATATAGCAGTAAATCTAAATAAACATATTTAAGATTAAAGATTGGCAGTTTCTTATAACGTATCTATTGTTGAATACACTCGTGAAGCAATATTGTCCGAACCAAATCTGAAACATCGTTACCATTCGAATTATCACGCTAAACCACGTGGTGATAGAGAATCACCACGACATCAGTTCTAGTGGTGACCGATAGTTACCACTCGAGGGCAAAGATTACAGTTGCTAGAAATTATAGAACTGTTTTCGTCGGCGGATGTATTTGCTTTATAGCATATCTAGGGCAATCAGCTAAGGTTGCTCGCTAGTATTGTCATGCATATATATGGGCATATACATTATAAGAACAGATGAGCTCTCGTGCTGTTGATTTCAGTATTTGTCTCAAAATCAGGTAGAAGAGAGATTAAAATGTCGTTACATAGAATTTCATAGTGAGCCGGATTAAGGGGCATCAGCAACCTCTATACCGACAATGTTAAATTGGCCAATTTCGATGTACCTTTTCTCAAAATCTGTTGTAGATACACGGTTGAAATGTTTTGAATAATTAAAGTATACTTATTTGATTATACTGAAATGAGCTTTTAAAACATTTTGAATTTTAGAGTAATTTACAGAATATTTTGTTAGGCATAGTAAAATTTAGCACTTTTCTCACACAAAAAATTAAATTTTTTTTTTGCAAGTTTATAACAAAGAGCTCATTTCAGTAAATATTAGGAAAGCTAATAAATGAACCATAAAAATTTTAGATACCTGTGAGCAGTAGTTCCTGAGAAGAGGCACATCGAGTGTAAAAAAATCACGTTTGGAGAAAAACGCGTTTTTATGTAAAAATCCTCATTGATCAAAGCATTCGATGACAAATTAAAACTAGATTTTTATGCAGTTCTAATTTTCATAGAGATTAAAGATTGGTATTTTTAGAAAGATAAAAGTGTAAAGAATTTGAAAATGCAAAACTCCACAATCGCAATTTTTTGAAGATTTTAGGGTTTCAACATCCCTTAAGCAATTAAAATGTTTAGACTATTTTAGACCATTACGTTTGCTATGTTGTAAGGTATTTCTCCCACCTTCTTAACATGCCTTCGTGATGTAATGGTCAGCACACTCGGCGCGTATTCGAGAGATCCGTGGTTCGAGGCCCGGTGAGGGCATTGCTCATTTTTCATGTCTTCTGCATACATGCGACTTGGAAAAAGTTTTCGTTTCACGAAACACAAGCTTATAAATTTATCTTCCAGAAAGCATCACAGTTGGACAGTTGACAGAGGGTTGTTATCTCAACAAATTAATAGGTTTAATTTATTACGTCGTTAGCCCAGAAGGGGTATCAGTTTCGTTTTGGTATTTTGCGTTGAAAACATTAAAAGGCTGTATCACCTATCAAATTGTTACCATCAAACATTATCGCCCTGTATTATATTTAAAAAAATTAAATAATGAAGAATCTGAATAAATGTATGTATGTTTCTCGCATTGTGATAAAACAACGGTACCTATAGCCATCAAATTTTGAATAACGTAATCCTCCGCACGAATATGGGCATTTGGAAGACCTAATTTGAAATTTGTTTTATTATCCATTTCATATTTTGTAAAACTTTAACGCATTTTTGATTAACAAACTAACGATTTAAAAGCGAGCAATGGCAACACTGTCCCAAAGAAAAAAGAACATCTTTATCTCCAGCGCGCGAGATTGTGTATCGGAAATTTTAAAGATATGCTCTTTTTAAATAGCTTGTGATATTGATGTTGAACTAAATTTTTATGGTTTAAGTGCGAAGAACATGATATGTAATAAATAAATGTAACACACAAAACGTTAAAGAAAGGTTCCTTTGGACGTAATATAAAATATGCAAACTTTCAGATTTTTTTTGATTTAATTATCAGTAACTACTTAATAATTTATTAGATTTAAAAGCAATATGTCCTCTGTTTAATAATTTAAATTTTATTTTTTAATAGTATATGCAATTAATATGTTTTAAAAAGCGCGTTATTTATAGTACACGTTAATTTTTATAAACATTGTAGCTATTAATGTAGTGAAAAAGTAAGTTTTTCATATCACATATTACATATCTCTGTACAATCATTTGGTTTACAGAGACTGATAATTAATTTTAACGTTAAAAGATCTTTTCTAAATTTTTACCTTTACGTTACATGTTACGTTATGTTGCCATGCGGTTCTGTTAATATGGATGAATAAAGCAAGCACAAGACGGCAAAGATACAACAAATTCATTATTATCAGTCCATACAGAAAGAGAAGGGAATGAGGAAGAAATATTTTTTCTGCGAATAAAGTGTGCCCTGCATCATTCCTGTCGGAGGCGTAGAAATTCCGGTCTGAACCATAACCTACTTTCTCCCAAACAAGCTACTTTACAGTGTGAATACAAAATTACAGCTTTCACTGAAAACCTTAGCAGAAAAATCAAATGCAGTTTCTTAAAGTTAGAATGATTACCAATAAAACTGCAGTCGGAGTTTCAATTTTATATGTCTCAGTGCTAATTTTTACCTTGGTCTTTTATTTAATGTCCTCCTTTGACCGCAAATCGTATGTAACTTTATTTGCAGTCATCAACGTCTCCGACCACGTTGGCCAACGGGTCCACTGGCGAGAAGGAGAAGCACGAGGAGACCTCCTTCTGCAGCAACAGCGTCACCTGTAGGTCACCTGTCAAAAGCAACGTTACGCCACCCCTCATCAGCACCATCATGAGCGAAAGCCCCACAGTGACCATCATACAGCCTGGAGTTAGTCCTTGCACCAACCCTGCGGTGAGAGTTTCCATTTTTCTTGTAAAAATTAATTAGTGTCTCGATATGGTTTGCGAGCCAACAGTGAGGGCAAATATTTAGGGAACGATTTGAGTGTAGAGTTTAGCATACATACAGAAGAACCTATAACACTGCCAGGTATTTTTTACATACGTATTTCGAACCTTCGGTGTACTTATACATTTAAGAAGATATCCTTGTCTTGTAAATGACGTTGGCATCTTGCACAAGGGTGTCAGTTTCTTTCTATGCCTAGGTCCACCAGCGGAAGAGCGGTAAGTCGCTGAACACTGGTAGTTCGGTCCGAGGTTCGAATCCCGCGAACGGGCTGGCTGCATGGGCGTTTTCGTGGTTTTCCCCATGTGTAACGTGTATACGAGCCAGTTTCCCTTAGAAAGTCCTCCACGAAGGCATTCCTTCCCTTAGGCAGATAGCCCTAGTGTGCTTTGTCATAATTAAATACACCACACCACACCACCTTTCTATGCCTAGTCAACCTGGCACATTTATTAAACTATCTTCCTCTTGTGCAGCAGTGCAGGTAATTTTATGCTGGTGCGCTATTTTCGCATAAAGATGCAGACCCTTTTATGTTAGTTGCAGAAGACGGAAACATCCTAATATTATTATTAAATTTGGAAAACATAATTTTAATATTTCTGATGAAATTGGCTTTTCAGAATTTCACAGATATTTTTTGCCAGCGCCTTCATCTCAGGGCTTTATAACTAAGTAAAGATATGCAAATAATTGATGGAGAAAATCCTGATTATATGCAGTTTTATTGAAGAAAGAATATCAGAAACTGTAAACCAAACGATTGAGTGCCGCGATGCGCAATATCTGTCGCCAGAAATACTTTCGGTTAACTATAGTAATATTTTAATGTTCATAATTGTCAAACGTATGTTTTGCAAAATTAATGTATCTTAATTAGTAACAATTAAAATAGAAACTTAAATTACATAGAAATGCTTTTACTTCCTTGTACGCATTAAAGGATGTATTGTAATCGCGAAAATTTTCGGTTATCATATTTCAAAGAAAATATCCGTTTTGTCCGCTTTAAAATCTATTTGAACGATGTTTTTTGCGCGATATCTGTACGTATGGACAGTATAAAGGACTCTTGGTTTTCAGAAATAAATTGTAAATTAAATTTGAAATGGATTCAAAAGAGATTTTTTTGCTGACGTCTGTGTATATCTCGCAAAATTCAAAAACGAGTAGCCGTAGAACGTTGAAATTTTGTATATGGAACTGGCTATACTACGTAGGTGTGCACATGCCTTTCTCGTTGTAATAGGCTGCACCAAACGCATATCATATATTTCCACCCCGTTACTGAGCTCAGTATTTTTATTCTTACATGTTGTCAAATTGTGCATTTTTTGCTTTAAAAGTGATTGAATTATGTTGTTATATTCCCGTTAAGGTTTTTATGGATATAGTAAGTCTGCATTCAATAGTTGTAAATTAAATCTGCATTCAATAGTTGTAAATTAAATCTGCATTCAATAGTTGTAAATTAAATCTGCATTCAGTAGTTGTAAATTATCAACATGTTAAAAGTGGCATTAGGTCTAAGGAGGCGCCTTTTCTTAACATTTGTACTTAGTAGAGTAGTGAATCTTAATAAGAGTAGTCTTAGTAGAGTAGTGAATTAAGACAGTTGATGCACTGACTTCAGTGCTTTTTCCTAGTGGGACCAGAAGTTAACTTTCAATTTTGTGCACCGAAATTGTGTCTTCTTGCCGAATTGCTTTTTTTCAGTAGAAAACTCCGATTTTAATTCCAAAAAAATTGTTTTTAACTGTATTTGGTGTTTAGAGTTTTTTTTTTTTTTCTGTATTTAACAATTTTTAATGACGATAGTTTGAATATGTATATATTTTTGCCTTGCCGTGAACCGAAAAGCGAATTGAATTAAGCTAGAAATGTATCTCTAATAAAATTCTAAGAATTAGTGAAGTGCAGGAAAAATCTGTATAATTTTAATAAGCCGTACGAGGAAGTTATGTGGTGTCTATATCAGATTTTTTTATATATGCTTTTATTGTTTTAACTTTTTATTGGTTTTGAATATTTTTACTGCTTAAGGTTTTAAGCAATAGAGATTGATTAAATGTGAAAGTTCAGTTAAAAATTTTACACTTAACTTCGACGGTATAACTCTGGGCTATGCCCAAGGCCTGTTAAAAGTTAAATATCTTGTGCTTCGTAGAACTGTAAAATTTCAGGAGTCATATGGAATGATAAATGCATAATATCAAAGGAAACTTAATTATCTGGAACTTTTCGAAAGATAGAGCTAAACAGCTTTCCAATGAAATAAACAAAAACAAATACTTTCATACTTTCACCCTAAAGGAATACATTTAGAAAAATTTATGCATCCGTAAAAATGCTGCAGCAAAGAGAGAAACTCCGACAATTATTGACATGCAGTAATACGGTCCTATTCTAGTCAACTTCATTCAGGTGAACAGATTATTTCACCACAGAAAAGACACATATTGAGACTGCAGGTTAGGTGTATCTTTGCAGCAAGCTTTTGTTTGGTTTCAATTGTTTTAAGCTTTTTTACACAGCTTGAGGTAAGATAACATAATTTTTTATGTAAATGTCTATGGTTTCAAGGTAACTGGTAATCTGGCAGCAGAGGGATTTGGGGAAGCCCTTCATCAAGAAAGATGAATTAATACTGTCAAAAAATTCGTGATAATTTGGAATAAATTGCCAAACTGATCCCACTTAAAAAAAAAAAAAAATGTGAATCTGTTTACGGACTACTTGCAGTCTATTCTGTTTCGGAGAGAATGCTCTTACGAATGATTGTATCATTTTTTATTGCAGCGTTATCACATTTGTTTAACATTTTAATTCTAAAACGTTCTGGATTATTTAATATAGGAATAATAAGGAAACAAATGTAATGCGGACACCACATGATTTCGTTGTATGCCTATTAAATAATACACAATTTATACCGGATAAGTAAAGTGCTAGGAAATTAAAATACCAGTTAAAGAAGTTATTATGAAGTGCATTTACTGCTTTTAAATGTTTCAGTTTATTAACCAATACAATTATTATTTGAAAAGTAAATTTATGATTTTATATTATACGAAATGGCAACTGCCTGAAAATTGGCTTCGTGTCATGCAGCATGGAATATGAATTTAACACGCGGGAAGGCGCGTGGGGTGTATCATACCCCAACCTTACATAAAAGTGGAGTATTCCTAACTTGTGAAACTGAAATTCTGTGCTGCTTTCAGTAGCTGAGTTTCTAGTTGTGGTTGACTTTCAGAACCGCTTTTTCTTTGCCTGTGTGTTTCAGAAAAAAATGTATTGGTATTTTGTTGGAACTGGGGTATGACACACCCCACGCGCCTGTCCGTGTAAGTGTTTTTCTGACCGAATATTTAGCTCAGAAATTTATTTCTAGAGTGTAGCAGTAAATATTTCTACTCGCAAGTGATTTTAAAGTTCTTGACATTAAATTCTTAAAAATTTCTAACTGCATTATGGTAAAAAGAATGAGTTCCTGTGAACTGGAGATGCAACGCATGTGAGATTTATTAGAAATATTTGAAAGCGATGAAGATTGCATTTCGGAAACTGAAGATGAAACTAAGAATATTTTCTACAATGTTTTGGTTTCGAAAAAGATAAAACATTAATTCCTGATGTTCCTAAAAAAGGAAAAACTGTTCTTATGCTTTATATAACGATCATTATAACATTATAACGTTATATAACGATCATACTATAGATGATACTATTGGAGAAAATAAAACGTTAGGAATTATATGTTTTAATAATATATGACTAAAGAGCAGTCAGTGGATATGGAGGATGAAATATCAGCCAATTAGTCAATTGCCAGAATAACGAGAAGGTGGCCAATGGTAATTTTCTTTCTTGCACTGAATGTTGCTGTAATAAATGCTTGAATTATATTACATTCAACTGCTAATCCACCAACAAGAAACAGAAGTCTGTTTTTGAAAGACTTAGCATTACAATTAATGAAAAAAAGTATTGAACAAAGATCAGAGATTAATACTTTTCCAAGAAATTGACGTACTGGCATGCAAAACAAAAGCAGAAGTTTCGATGAAGAATTAAAACGAATACATGAAATTCGAAACAACTAAGTTATGAAAGATGTGTTAAATTTTTTGCCCTCGCGCCAAGGACAGAAGAACGTGAATGCAATGTTTAAAATGTGAAAACATTCTGTGTGCCAAGAACACAATGAATGTATTTCGTTCAAAGTGTGAAGAAATAAAAAAAAGCATTGTGTATTAGAGATGCAATGAAACTTAGAGGCATGATGTTTATTGTTTCATTATTTTCATTTATCTTAATTTTAACTCTAAGATTATTTCGGAAATTAAGTTTTTGAAACCCAATTATTATTCACTTATTTATATATACACGAGAACAAAAAAAAAAAAAAAAAAAAAAAAAAAGTTTTAAACTAAATAATACTATTTTTATTGTATTTTAAATATTGGGGTATGTGATACCCCACGCGCCCGTTCTAGTAACTTTTCTTGGTGCACCTTCCGCCGGGTTAAGATAAGATAAGAGATGTTAATTTCTCTTTCACTGAAAATATTTGCTAGGTTGTGTTAATGATAAATGGCATGACAGGGTAACGTAACGTAACGAAATTCCTTCAAAATTCAAAACTGCTCTAAAGACATTACTCGCGTCAAAATAGACCACAAGTACGTTTTCTTCATCCAATCTTTCTTTAACAGCCTGAGGAAAAGCCTTCCTTTTATCGAATTCCGCCATTCGACAGACAGATAATCCACTTTTCTGCCTCATCGATGAATCGATCGAATCCTGAAAACTTTCATTGTGTCCGCTTCTTGAGTGCCCCCGGTAACGACCCCGGGATCTGGAAACGCCCTTTTAATAGCCGCTTTTAGGACTCCATTAATTGGGAATTACTATCTCTTTGCTCTTAAGGTAGCTGCTGG